AAGAAGATATCGTAGAAGTACAATAGGTGTCCAGCCATTTACCTTCCCACATTCTTCTCCACTTCGACAAGCAAAGTGTTTTCCATATCAAACAGGAATTGCTAGATGAATATTAGGAACAAATTTGAAAGATCTTACCTGCGCAAATCCAGTTATATCATCTTGTGGCAATTTTCTATTTACTGCTACTCGAACAAGATGATGTGTTGGATGTCCAAACCGCTTAAACTATGGTGAACACTCTCCTTGACCATGCATACTTGCTGGGTAACATTTCTTCATATCTATACATACAACTTCTCTGACTTGATAGTTAGGTGTATTCTAGCGTCCTCTATGCCCATGCTCAATACAAGATTGCTTTATATTTTTATGTACGCTAGCTGGAGTCAGATGCCAATTATTAATTTCATTAGCAAGTTTACTTCCAGCATGGTTTGCCCCAAATACCTGCTCTGCTAACTTAACTATTTTTAGTGATTCTAGAAATTCCTGCTCTTTTTTTTCACTAATTATTTCTTCCCGAAGTTGCCAGTCTACCGCATCCTCAAATAATTCCTTACATGCTTTTACAATATCTGTATGCTTTATCCATGTCCTAAATGTACGACCATCTTCTAGAACAAACTGCGATACTGATTGGATTTCTTCTAGTGTTTCGCCTTCTCCAAGTCCGAGTCCAATAAGCCATATTGCTTGTAGACCTTGAAGAGCTTTATTGATAGCATTCCATGCATTATCATTATAATATTCTATCATTCAATCTCTTGAAAAATGATAGTTTCTAGGAAATGCATGGCCATTATGAACTACCATCTCAATCTCTTCATACCTACCTGTTCGATACTTTCTACTATTAAATATAGTACCATAAGTTATATCAAGTAATTTAATCAGTCGTTTAAGAATTTTTTCTAACTCTGCTACATCTTATACTCAAGCACCTGAAATGCACATTTTTTTCTCCCAATCATTTATTTTTTGCTGACGAATTTCTGTAAGTCCATGCCCTTGCTTAGTGTTATCAAAATGCTCTATTACTCGTTAAGCTATGCAGTTAAGTGCTCCATCTTTCATAGGTATTAATCGATCGACATCTGGCTTTCGGATTCGATATAATCCATATACTACTGCATTACTGTCAAGCTTCTCTACCTCAGATTGCTTACTGACTTCTCTAACCAAAAATTTTTCATCTATTTCTACCCAAAATTCTGGTTTCGTTTTCTTTGTAAGTATAACGTTTGGACCACCCCCGACGTATTTTCCACCTGCTTTTTTTTGATTCATGAATAGGCTCATATTTATCAATAATTTTAAAAGCTATCTTTGTTTGAAGTTTATCTTTATATACAGAATTATCTCGAATGAATTTTACTCTTATTAAGAACTTGCTATTA